TTTCCCCAGCCTCCACTAAGAAACCATAAGGCAACAGCTCCAGGAGAAGGATCAATACTACGGTCCCAATTCTGCCACGTTAGGGATCTCCAAGACCAGTCAACTCTAATCCAGTACAAAGTCTAATGAGATACAATGAAAATTAAAGCTAAAGTCAGACAAGAAACAAGAGTCACAGTACCAACAACGTGACTAATTTAACCAGAATTTTAGTGAAATCCCCAACACTTCAGAGGAAAAGCTCTCCAAGAAATCATGCAATTCAACATTATTCCTGATGCAGAAATTACTGTCTGCGGTCTTTGACATGTTTTACCCGACATCCAGACGGAATACTATAGAGTACCATCCTTTTCATGAGGGCCATGCTGTCCCAATTGGCATCTGAGCTCACCAGTCCTTTTAAGCAGATCTAGCATGTTCCCTGCCATTCCCAGTTTCCAATTCTCCATGTATTTAGCTTTCAAATTTTACACGATATATTTTGCCTGCGGCATAGTAGATCACTTACCCTTCTCCTATTAGCCCTCTCTGTTTAATTACAGTTTAATGTGAATTGATCTTTACATTAATGAGCCTGTAAAGAAGATTGATTTTCTTCAAGAGACTTTTATGCTCAGTTTGGCAGCAGAGTAGTCCTATTGATTTCGCTTTCATCAGTAAATAGGCTGCAGAGTGTCATTGCATCCTCTGTGAATCAGCTAATCCTATTTCACACTCTTTTGCTCCAAAAATCCCTATTCTGACTTCCTTGTTATCTGTGCTTATTCAGAGCAAGATCATGGGGCCAAAGCATCTCAAACAGCTCTGACTGTTGCGAACACACAGCTGACTGTCCTGGGTCACCATCCCCTTTGTTCTTAAATGGTTGGGGGCTTAAAAGACTTACAGTGAAAGTTATTTTTAAGTGTTTAATCTGTTAACTTCCTTAATTCCTAGCCAGCTAAGGACGTGGCACAGAGTGTGCTCTGTTTACCACGCCTGCTTCAGAGATCTGGTTAGCAGGCTCTCCGCCGCGCTCCACAGCTGTGTAACAGCCTGTGCTGGCGTGCCTGCACCAGTGGATGCCGACGGAATCAGGCTGGCTGCCTTGGAGCCAGGGCAGAGAATAAGGATCCACCTCTGTCATCCCATGCAGACATCCCAAAAGCCCTCCAGGATGCATTTACCCACATGCAGGTAGACAAAGCAGTGGCAGACAGAGCCCCAGAGCTTGCGCCTGCACAGGGCTTTGTGAGAAACTCGTAGTAACAGACCAATGCAGAGCTGATCACAGCTCAGGTCCTCTTCTTACCTGGCATGCTAGCAAGGCTAAGAGACTCTCCATGCAAGTTAGTGAGGAAGCTGAACATAAACAGACTCAGTTCTACTGCAAATCAATGGTTTCTTCCATCCTCCCCTTCCCCACTAGATCAGGTAACAGAGTCTTCTTGAGACCCGACAGAGTTAACACACTTGAGTTGCAGCAGAACATTGGGAAGGGAAATCCTCAGCCAAGAGCATGTCAGTGAAAACATCCTGCCACCAACTCCCAAATGTCCCAAGTCTAGGAACTGTAGCTAAATTACAAATGCTGTGAGAATTTCAGGCAAGATTCTCCTCTCAGCTACTCCGATGTAATTTCGGAATGAATCCAGATTCAGTCTCTCCCCGTCCCAGCTGAATTTCCTGGCTTTTGTTTGCACTAACAGATGTTTGCATTTAATGTCTGTCTTTATTTGGTAACCTGTACATAGATTATTTTTCCCCTCTGTTCTATTAAAAGCCTTATCAAGTCCCTTATGTTTGCTCTTGTTGAGATGAACGACTTTGGCAGTATTTTCAACATGCAAGGCAAACAAACTGACTCTTCAAGGAATAATTAAACTGAACTAAACTTCATGGCAGCATATTAGGGCATACCATGTTTGATACATATGTTATGCCTGCATCCATCTGCAGCCTGAAACATCCAAAGATTTGCAGAAAGCCTTGAGAATTCTCTCTCCAACAGATTCCCACATGCTTACATACATACATAACTGGCCCATGGTCCACACGCACGTAGGGTCAAGCAAGTTTTGGGTGATGGAGACAGGTATGAGAAACCTCAAAACAGGGAATCCAAAGCTCATTAAAAAAAACTTTATGGAAAATCTGCCATACTGCCAAGCAGAGATTTCTTTCTCCCAGCACCAAAAGGGGAGAAAGTCTCTTCCCCAGTTTAGGAAAAGTCGAAGATGAAGCAACTCATTCAAAAGGGCTGTTTTGAGTGACAAATATACAACCCTTGCTTTTCTAATGCATTCATAGCCCTTTGGAAATACTTAACCACATGCAATATACAAAACCTACTTCAGAGGTTTGTGAGGTAAACACACTTCACACATTTCTAAACACTGGGAAAAAAAAGGAAATGTATTTATTTTTCTTTAGCAATAAGAATCCACTGTAACACTATATACTTAAACATAAACCAGTTTCTCAGTACACAGTCTTCATTATGAGTCTTCACCCTGGGTTTGGTTTGGCAGCCTCCCCACTTATTACTTCACAGATTTGAAGGCCAGAAGAAACCAGTATGACCATATAATCTGATTCTTTACATCACACAAGCCCAAAGAACTTTACCCAACAATTTGCGTATCAAGCCCATTAACCTCGAGTTGAACTAAAGGACCACCTTTTAGGAAGCCATCCAATTGATTTAAAGACTCCCAAGGATGAGAAAGCTTCACTTCCTCAGCAAATCATTCCAATGTGAGTTAGTCAGCAGCATCGATTAAAGCAGGTACTTTAAAACATCTTTCAGATTATTTTTACCTCTGATAAAAATTAAAAGGAAATGCAAGGGGGGAAAAAGTGGCATTCTGTGAAACACGCTAAACAAAGAGAGCCTTCTTGCAGAGGTATGACAGCAGCATTACAAATCCCGCTATCAGAGTTATTTATGTGTAGCAGCTGAGGAAAGCAATACAGATTTCTGGAAAGTGATACTAAGCAGGTCTGTTTAGAATACCGTCCTTTTATCATTTGGCTTTGTACCTTCCCCTTCCTTCTGCACCACTCTGAAATTTCAGAGGAGCTGTAAATCTACTGCCTTCCACCAGTCACTATTCCTCCTTTCCAAACTGCTTATTTCATTTCAGGAATAAAAAAACCCCAAAGCTCTAGCAATTTGGTCCTTTGCCAATGGCTAAATTAATAGCAAAAATAACAACAGGGGCTTGTGAAACTTGGATCATTTATAGACTTCGTGAGAAAGAAAAGCCGATTTGGGGGGCCTAAAACTATATCCTGGATGGTAAATTGTATGCAAGCTTTCCACCCATAAATCAGATCTCTGGAGTTTTTTGAATCCCAATGCATAACACACGGGGTTATGCGGCAGTCTGCTAAGCTCAGTTCAAGTGGCAGGCAGATGGCCTCTCATGTCAGGGGATCGTGCCTTGAACAAGAGACACTGCTCGGAGGGAGTTACTGCCCTGCTCTGCAGCCAGCAGCCCCCAGATCACGCATCCAGGCTTCACATGTGGTCATGCAAACGGGGAGAGGCTGCAGGAGGCAGGAATCAAACAAGCTGGTTTCACACCAACCGCATGTGACACATCTGACAGGTCTGATAACTGCTGAGACACAAGCCACCCCTCTACCCAGGAGGTGAAGTGGTTACTCGTGTATTTAACAGAGATATTTGCTAGATCCAGCCCTGATGACAGCAGAGGAGCACTTCGGCTCTTCGTAAGCTCTGCAGGAACACGGTATACCCAAGAACCAGATCAAAGGCAACCATATCTCAAACAAAAGCTAAACTCGCTTCACGACAGGAGTGAGATATGGACACCAATTTGAAGCTAAGATCCCTAAACTGAATTAAGACAGTGAGGGAGTTCTGCTTTGCATATTTTAACAGTGCCTAATGGAAGAGCAGGAACAGTGCCAGTTCATTTCACTCAATTCTCTCCTTGATTTAAGTAATAGGAATGTATTTTTAGTCAACAGATCAAGGTTGTCTCCAAGTAAGTCGGAGCCTTTCAAGCATGAGAGGTCAATCACCTGGTGGTATGGACATGGGCATTTTCCACTACAAGGAGAAGACAATCCATGGCAAATACGGTCACCTGCCTGTGGGTGTCCACTGCAAGGCTGTGCACGCTGGGAGCCATCGCTTAAACGGCTCAAGCACTTTGCTGGAGTCCATATTAGCTATAACCACTTCCCCTTCCCAGGAACTTGGGAGGTATCATGCATACCTCAGCAAAATTCCTTCTTGGTATGCATTACAAGCAGACACATGCAAAAATAATTTTAGAAATCCGCACTCTTAAGGTACTAAGTAGTTTGATATTATAATGTCTTTATTCCCTTCAGCAGCGTCCTCAACCTGAGATCCTCGGTGGCAGATACACAAGGGCTCTCAGGTGTCTAACACTTCTGCAGGCACCTAAACTACCAAAGTTAGGAACTTCAAAGCTTCTGCACATCTAGACTTACAATCACCAATCACTCTCTCAAAAGAAAAGGAAAAAAAAAAAGAGAAGTTGAAAGAGACCATAAAAATGGGTCTGGAATGAATTCCCTGAAAGATTAAGATGTAAATAGTCTCTGGCTTGAAGAGAAAAGAAGAAATTACCAGAACAGGGCCAGGGAAAAAGAGAACAATAAAGAAAAGGTAAAATTTTATACTCCTTTAATATCACAAGTATAACATAATGTCTGAAACCCAAAGGCAGATGAGAAAAAAATAATTTTATTCCATATACAACTAACCTGTTTAGTTTACTGACATGAGTTACCACTGACCATAAGCACAACATTAACTGAGACCAATCTCATACAACTCACAAAACTCCAGAAGACATTTCTTAATTAAGGTGCTAACAAGCGTGATAATGGAATCTGAAGAGTCAGCAGAAGTGGGTGGGACACACACAAAACTCCCGGTCCGGTCCGTAGCAGCTAAACCTACCCCACAAAACACAGCCCAAAGTCAAAAGCCCGAAGAGCCAGCAGCAACTTACAGGTGAAGGGAGCGGACGTTGGAAGCAGCAGGTCCCAGGGAGGGAATGGCCGTCAGCTCATTGTTGTTCAGTCGCCTGCAACAAACAGAAATTAGTTGTTGAAGCAAGCAGCTTATGATCAAGTGTGCAGGAGCAGCGAATGGCCGCGGCGCTTCCATATGCACACCCCTGACTCTGTGGGAGCACTGACATGTCAGCAGAAGCCTCCATCTCAAGGGGTTTGTCTGCACCTCTGAGTCCCACCTTATCCTCCCAACCCAACCCTTTAATAAATGAGAGCCACTGTAACTGGTCCCACAGTATCTTCTTTATAAAAACAAGGTTTTTTTTCCCCTTCCCACCTACTCCCTTAAGCAAAGTCAAGTGCCACCATGGAAGGCACTGTGCCACAGCCCTCCACCAATCTGCCCGAGTCTCCACAGTCATCAGGGAGCTGAGCCCAAGACAGGAGACTGTTGGCACCCACAGCCATGATGCAGCCAGGTCCTGCTGCCTCAGGACACTGAATTTATCTAATGTATCTCCCTCCCCAAGCAGCAGCCCCTACTTGCCCCCTCCACGCCAGGCCAGCGTGTGGGGGCCCAGCAGGGTGCCATGGCGGCCTCAGGCCTCCCCCCAAACTCTTCCAGGCCAAGCTCTGGAAACCCCGCCAGGGCAGCCCCATGAAGCCAGCAACACACACACACACACACACACACACAAAAGCAGTGCTGGGCACAATAATGCCACCAAAAGCAGGTAACCTGCTCCAGCCAGCCGGCTGGGGAGCACCATGCAAGCGACCCGGGGCTAATGGCAATTGCAGACGGGCCCCTCGCTCCTGGAAACGCGGTACAAAAATGTCCCCCTCAATGGCCTAATGTTTGAAGTGTTTTTCTGACTGAAAACAGATCCTTGCCATGTGACCGGCTCTTCCTTGGTTTAAAGAGCCCTTGTTTGTATGGTGAATTAGTCAATTAATTACTGTAACAGTCGCTTGTCTGGCTGCTTGAAAATTACCTAATTTCTTAGCCATCTTGCCCGCTCCCCCGCTGCCGCATGCTGAAGCCATTAAAGCCGAGCGGGGCAGCACACGGCGGCTCCCCAGGACCCCCAGCCGCCGGAGGCAGAGCCTTGCTGGGTCTCTCCCCGCTGCCGCCTTTAAACCCTTCCCTTCCAGCAGGGGCTCTGCAAGGGGATCTCCAAAGGATGACGATTCGGGGGTGAGCGGCAGAGCATCCCGCAGCAGGCAGGGGAACACAGGGCAGCTGAGCTGTGCAAAGTCGTGGGCATGAGATGGGGCAATCCTAAATTACAGTGTGGTTTGGTTTTTTGTTTGCCTTTTTTTTTTCCCCCTTTAAAACTATTTTTGGCAGGTGGGAGAGAACAGCGACACATCCATCCCAGCACTTCCTTCTGACTCCTCCGAGAGCAGGGAAGATATTTGATTTCATGAGGAGTTCCAGGCGCTGCTGGGATAAAAGCTTTCCTCAGCCTCAGCTCTGCCTCTGACATTATACCTGTACCTTAAAATGTAAGGGAAAAAAGCCAGATGCATTGCAATTCAGCAAGGAGCTCCACTTTGCCACTAAAAGCTCATTGTTGCTCATATTATAGCAAGGTCTAGAGCTTTCAAAGGTACAAAGCAAGCTGGAAAGAGCATTAAAGTGCTTATATTTGTGCCATGTTTTCATTAACATCTAACTGAGCATCTTTTGGCAAGGCACAGGAGAAGAAGAATAATTAGGCCCACCCTCCACTAGCCCAGGTCAGCTCTGGTTAAGCAGCTCCAACACCAACTGGCATCTAACAACTGGCGGAACCCTCCTCTGACATAAGTGTGATTTTCATATATCAGCCTCCTGTCAGGTCAGAAGTCAGTCAGAAGTGGTTCTCCCACCTCATTTTCTCTCTTGGCTCACAGGCACCAGTTGCTGATGCAGAACAGACAGCCAAGCTGAGTATTTGCCTGGGATTTCCCTCTCATCTTCCCCTTCCCCCATATACAGGAATAATAATGAAAAAAAAAAAAAAACAAACCAAAAAAGGCAAAAGAAAAACCCCAAAACAGCCAGGCTCAACAAATTTAAACTTTCAGTCTCCTTTCTCCTCCCCAGCCCTCCCCTTTGACGACACAAACCTGCTGCCTCTAGATGCTAAGGCAGAGGAGGAGGGGGGCCACCCGTATAAAATATTTACGGTCCAGTTGCCAGGCTGGTGTCAAGCTGAAATGGAGCCTGCTCAAAAATAGCACAGCTCTCCAGAGCTTTCAGTGAAAGGCACTTTAGAAAATAAAAGGTGAGTTGTTTAGAGAGGAATTTTAGCATAGTTACTACTTCTTTGTTATAAATGAGCTTGGAAAACCCGAGAGCTGTACAACCATCACTTTCATGGATCCCATGATCCGTATGACCTGAAAAAACCCCAGAAAGGACCACAGGGCCCACCCCACAGCAGTATCCTCCGTCCCAACCTTCAACCAAGGCACAAGGATAGACCCCAAAGGGAGCCACCAAAGGGGACGAGAGAAGACATAGGTATTCTGAAGGAGGAAAGCAATGTCATACCCGTGCCCCTTCCACCTGAGCCTCCGTCGGCACAAGGCTACTTATTTCAGAGCATGTGGTTTCACGGGGTTTCATATCACTTTGAGCTACTAAATTTCATCCCACACAGACTTAAAGTTAAGGTAAAAAATAGCTTCTTAAAAAACCACCACAAACAACTGCCTAAACCCAAGGAAAGTGGAAAAAAAAAGGTGGGGTAAATACAGCTATTACTTTATTACTGTCTTAGAAAAGCAAAACAGAGCATCCAAGATAAGCTATTAAGTTTAAATCTTTTGGTTTACAGAGATTTTCTTAATATTAAGGGAAAACAAAAGTTTTCACAATATATCGCATTAATTATTCACATACAGAGACACACACAGAGCTTTGAGCCTCATCTGTAATGCTCAGGAACCACAGGCACCGTGATTGAAGCATCATGGGAGGTTTCAGGTCTTATCAATGCATCTATTATTTGGGGCAATCTCTTTCCC